GCTTTGGGTCTTCTTCACTGGTGTGATACAGTCGGTCATTACCATAAAGCAACATGGATGTGTGAGTGAACGTTCACGACCCATTTGTTTATCCGTTTCATGTGGCTGTTCCTTGAACAAATGTTCCTGGAACAGCTCATGTCTCCCACATTTGAAAAGCAATTACAGATCTGCCCATGCATATCCACAGACAGAGTGAGGTAGGCTGTTTCGTGGCCGTGAAATATGTTTTGCCATTTGTCAGTCTCAGTCTGTTTTATATTTGGTTAGATGTCGTGGCGTGGTGCCTCAGCAAGTGCAAGTCATGCACATACAAACTTGCCTGCTTTTTGAAAATTCCTTACTCCTTCTGCTTTGATGACCTAAATGTGATCTCAGGGTGTGGGTGAACTAAAAACGCCCATCGGCTTTTGTGATGCGAAGTGTTAAGACAACAAGTCGTGCTCATATACTCTGACTGGAACAGTTAGCTGTTTCAACAACACACCGTAACAAAAGTAGCAACCTGCATTTTTTTTTTTGCAAGGATTGATGGATAGCTATCTGGCTAGCTAGCTAGATAGCTAGCTAGCTAGCTAGCTAGCTAGCTAGCTAGATAGATAGATAGATAGATAGACTATTCTAAACATGGTTTTGTGATTATCATTGTGTTTGTGGAATATGAATTGAACAGAAAAATCCATCTGAGGGCACCGCCATTTTGCCTTGCACTGCCACTTGTTGTCGACTGAAAATGACATCACAAAGCCTAAGGGCTCAGCTTGTGAATGTCACATGACCAAACCCAGAATTCCCGTGAGCCATGATTGGTCATTACCTGAGCCCTTAGGCACTGTGATGTCATTTTTAGTCGACAGCAAGTGACAAATTGGCAGTTCCCTTAATTCATATTCCACAAACACAATATGAATCAGAATATCATCTTTAGAGTATTTGGGGGCTCATAGAACAAATTATTATAAAGACATTTTATAAAATTATAAATTATTCAAACTTTTTTGACTTGACCTCCCCTTTAAAGATTAAACGAAAATGTATTGAACTTAAAAGGTAAATACAACTGAACTCTATTGAGTCAGTGATTTTTTTTTTCCATTTGCAATTACAGGGAGCCTGCAAACACACTTGGGGAGTCACTGCTTAAAACCTTAGTGAGCTAATGTATAGCAAGATTTGCTTGCATCTCACCTCTTCATCTTTCGTGGCATTTAAGTGTGGCCGTTTCATTGCAGCACTCGTCACAGTCGAGATTTTTTTTTAAGTTACCATTACACAGCTTTAATTCCATGTGTGACACTGAATGACCTGAAATTACATTTCTCAGTAACAACGTTAAAGTACCAGACAGTTTAAATACTATGATTGTTGTCCGGGCCAAGACAAACCGTGTGATTTTCTGAGGACACAGTGAACATCTCCTGGCATGCGGACAACATCATCAAATCTGTTAGCTTTCATGCTGTCCAAACATTGCTGTTTATCAGCAATTAGCTCAGTGGTGGAAAAAGTATGGCTCACGGACCGAATATGGTCTGCTCTGTTCTTTAATCTGCCCAAAGAGCATTTTATTTTAAAGATTCATGTGATATTTGTTGCATGAATTAGGGCATTTTTTTTTTTATCACATAAGTGGTTAGCTAAATTGTATTTTATCGTTCATTCCTCCATTATCCGATTCACTGGAGTACTGGAGCCCATGCCAGCTGTCTGGTCTATACTCAACCCCCTTGTTTCAAAAACAAAATTGAGCTCAAATGTTTGCCCACATTTGCTTTAGACAATAAGCAACAAACAAAAAAAAAAAACAACTGGAATCAATCAGAGGGGCCACAAGCTTCCAGTTCAATTATGAGGGTCTTAAATCAAGGTGTGCTGTTTGATCATTTTGTCATTCAATCGACTCTTTCCACATATAAAAACACACACACATGCACACACGTAGACACATGCAGGCCATATGAGACCTCTAGGAATGAGTTGTCGTTAAACCACAAACTTTTATTTCAACCTTTCAGCATTTCCTGGTACATAAGTTACCAACCTGGGAAAATGATCACTTTGTTTAAGAGTTTTAAGAAGGCCTTCATCTTTTTATGTTAAACAGAGGAATGATTTAATTAGAGTAAGTGTTATTTCTTTCGATTCCTTTTTGAACTGGCGTTGTTAAGTTACACTTCAGAAGTTATGAGCATTTCAGCTCTGGCCCAAGTTATGAGCATTTCAGCTCTGGCCCTCCTGTGTAAAGTTTGCATGCCCTCCCCGTGCTTTCATGCATTTTTTTTTTCTGGGTACACTAGCTTTCCCCCACATTCCAAAAACTTGTGCATTATATTAATCGAAGATGCGAAATTGTATGTCTGTGTGAATGCAATTGTGAATGTTTATTTGTGCCCTCAGGGCACAGGGCACTGCCCTGTGACTGATCTAAATTGTCCCTAGGTGTGAGTGTGAGTGTGATCGCAGATGGTTGTTCGTCTCTGTGTGCCCTGCGATTGGCTGGCAACCGGTTCAAGGTGTCCCCAGCCTACTGCCCGAAGACAGCTGGGATAGTCTCTACGACCCTTGTGAGAATAAAACTGACCAGAAAATGGATGGATGGATGGAAATGGTGGACACATGCTCTAAATGTACAAACATTGGGGAACCTGTGCCTTACAATGAAGTTGTGGTCACTGGAATCTAATATCTTACAGCAAGTACTTCTTGGCCAAGTGCAGAAACTTCGAGTGGTTTCACTGCTTGCCCCATCAACTCACAGTTTCCTGAATTAAGGCATTAAAGCTCTTGCCAAATGGTAACCTGTCATTTTTTACACTCTTACTCATTCAAAGCAGTCGGCAGTGTTCCCAGCTTTCAATCTATTGGGCCCTCTACAATTTGCTTCTAGAAATAATAGCGGTGTTCAAGATGCCAGAGCTATTTTATACTTAATCTTTAGTATCAACATCTTGAGGGCAATTAGAACCGCATCAGATTTTTGTTGACAACATTTTGCATTCCGTTGGTGTAGATGTGTGTCTAGTGGTCTGGATTTTAGATTTTTTTCTCTCAAACAGATCACCGCAAGTCGGAGTGAATGAAATTTTGTCCAAATAGCTCGGCACCGTTCATGAGCTGCCTTGTTTTATGTCTGTGCACTTGATGCAATTTATGGCTCATCATCATCATCATCATTTATTATTATAATTGGTTTATATGACTGTTTTGTGGTATACAGTACTTGTCAATATATGCAAACCAAATTGCCCCTCAAGAGACAATTCAACAAGGTGAAGGGAAGTGAAGTGAAGTTTGTGCTGTGCAAGGATAATTAGAGTAGGAAGCATTTTTAACAAACATGACTCTGTCCAGACAGTAGAAGAATATTCCTAAAATGCTCTTTCTATTTGCTCTTCCTCAGCACACTCACAAGTCTGGCATCTGAGGTGGAGGTATCGGACGTGCTCTAACTAGCAGGCTATCACATTGTTCGCTGCCTGTTCTCCTGTGGGTGTGCGTACATATTTATTAACTCGTGTTGTCACTTGAAGTCAACTGGAAACTTCAAAATCAACTGCATGAGTATGCGCCAAGTGACAATATGCATGAATGGACTTGCATCCACAGTTAAGAGCGACCCAAAGTTTTTTGAGAAACAAGCTGTCATTTGACCGTTTTTTTTTTTTTTTTTTGCAAGCAAAATTTTGAGAGACAATCACTGTAGAGTGCCAATGAACTCAACTTGACTGACTTCACAACAACCAGCAATTTTACATAGCAAACAAAACTTTAAAAAAGAGACTAAAAGCGGTTCATTGCCATTCATACTTAAAGTTTATTGTCAACCTAAACATTTGAAAATTACAAATTAAAACAACTCCATAACTTTGCCGATGCGATGCTCACGAATAATGGGAAATGCCATATATGGGCTAATTTATAGCAACTTTGTGGCAGTGTTATATGAAACTTTAAGGAACTTCTATTTGAACACATGTACAGAGACAGTCTAATGATATTCAGAGACATATATTCTTTATCCTCTGCAAAAACCAACTAATAACTGCAAATTATTGAGCCTCTAGTAGTAGCTATGTAAAACTCTTCTTTCTTCATCTAATCGACTGTATTGTACTGCTGTCAGGAACACCAAATCATGATGCACAAATCATGAGCTTAATTATTTCAATTTAATTATGTTATTCTTATATACATTTTTTATAATAGAAAAATGGCACTGTATTGAGTGTTATTTGCGCTTTGAAAAACACATTACAAAATTGTGTTTTGGGCGAGTGGGGGACTAGAATGGATCAATGTCATTTCTATTCATTACAATGGGGGAAAGATGATGTGACATATGTGTTTTTTGAGTCCGAAGCACATTCATTGAACAGATTACAGTCATCTCTCAACACACACCTGTAAATAAAAGATTTGCTAATTGTCACCAAAGATTTTCGATTTTACCGAAGGTCTGGATGTAGCAAAACTGGAATTGGCTCAGATGCGTTACACCACAAAAAAGTTATTTGGTTTTCATAAAGGGCAATTCTGTCTTGCCTGCGTTGTGTATTTTGCTGGATTATTATTGCAAGGAGCTCAATTGAACTTCGATGTGAAACAGATATGGAGATGGGCGAAGACAGGACGCCCTTGACGACAGCACTTTTTGAGACGTTCTATAAGTGCTGAAGTATTGCCAACAAGATCTTCTTATTCATATATTGACCCCATTTAATAATTACCACAGCCAACTCATTAAATTTTAACACTTTGAAAAGATAAACACATTTAACTAATTAATGATAAAATTGCTGAGTCGGACAGTTGCTTTCTTACATTATGAAAGCTTTGTCGGTCCGTTTTATTCTACTTTTAGAATGAAAGAATAATAATTAGACTTATCGTGCATATCCTTCTCTTCTGATGCTGTTACCTAACGATCATTCAACTTTTACTGCGCCCAGTCCCGTCACTGGGGGCCTGCCTTTGGGGCGGTTTCTGCAGAGGTTGAAGCACTTCCTTTAATCCCCTCACTTGAAAAGTGGAACGCAGTCCTCATTCGAGGTGTCATAGTCGTGCGCGGAGTAATCAGAGACGCAGCGATGCTACGAGACTGCGTGTTGCTCGCTGTTTTTTGGGTCGGTGTCGTCCCCTCAGGGATCCCTCATGACGCCATACACTGGACGTACACAGGTAGGCTGTTGTTCATTTGGCATATTCACTTAAGAGCTAAGGCAGGGGTCGGCAACCCAAAATGTTGAAAAAGGCATATTGGGCCAAAAAACAAATACTGTACCCTTCACTCCGCCACGACCCTCGGTGAATAATTGTACATGAAACGCCGTTTTTATTTTATTTTATTTTATTTTATTTATTTTTTACAACAGCCACCTGCCTGGCATCCCGCCCTGCTAATCGAAACGTGTGTCGCAGGCTATGACGCAAATCTTCGTTGACAGAAATGTTGAAATTGAATATTTATTCGATACATTTTTACAGGATTGGAAAACGTTAAGAATGGTTGTGCCATGTTTGTCCTCCTACAGAAACCACATTAAAAGAAATAATATATTTCCCTCCCCCATCTTTTTACATTTTCAAACATTTTTGAAAAAGCTCCAGGGTAGCCACTCGGGCTAAAGAGCCGCCGTTTGCGGACCCCCGAGCTAAGGTGAAGTGATGAAGGGAAGGAGGCGGACGGGGTTTGGTGTGTGTGTGTGTGTGTGTGTGTGTGTGTGTGTGTGTGTGTGTCTGTGCGGTGGGGGGGGTACATTTGGTACCGCCGAAATTGATGATGCTTTCGACTGCTTGTACAATAACAAGTATTATTAATACTATTATGAACACAATAATGAGCATAATCATAATGGTCACAATAATGACTCCTTAGATACAGAACATGCATGGCAACCATCTGGTTTATTACACTGCTGGGAAACAATGATGAGTTGCAACAGAACCAAGTTGGGCAAGTCCTAGCTGTGACTGTAACTTGTTTAAGCTTTCTTGAGAGGAAAAAAGAGAACAAACATCCCATAATTGTGCACACAGAGTGACTCCCTGATGAATCCTTTGATGACTTGGCATATGGCGTTAAGCAGACATATTTTGCATCCCCAAACCTGACATACATTGCTCGCAAAAAGTTAGGGACATTTGGCTTTTGGGTGAAATTTATGGAAAATGACAAAAGTTAATGCTACAGTGATATCATACCATGAAATATTGAACCCGGGACCTCTGCACTGTGAGGTTGTGGGTTCGATCCCGGCCTTCCTGTGTGGAGTTTGCATGTTCCCCCCGGGCCTGCGTGGGTTTTCTCCGGGTACTCCGGTTTCCTCCCACATTCCAAAAACATGCATGGCAGGCTGATTGAACACTCTAAATTGGCCCAAGGTGTGAGTGTGAGCGTGGATGGTTGTTCTTCTCTGTGTGCCCTGCCTTTGGCTGGCAACCAGTTCAGGGTGTCTCCTGCCTACTGCCCGAAGATGGCCGGGATAGGCTCCAGCACTCGCCGTGATCCTTGTGAGGATAAAGCGGATCGGAAAATGGATGGATGGATGGATAATAACACTTTGTCGTAATGCTGTGCTGTGTGTAGAATTTTGAGGTGGGAAATGAGCTATAGTATTCCATTATCAGCAAAATATGGAAAATGTGAAGCACTATTAAGACTTTCCTGATGTAGTCTAATCTATATACAGTATAGTAAACAAGGGCATAAACACACTTTACTGCTGCTTTTTGCCTATTCTACATATGTTACGTGCCATATTCCTGAGTGTAAAAGTAGCCTTGTCAATTGTCCTAGATGTAAAAGGGGCAACTTTGTGACAAAGCAGAAAATGTACATTCATGACTAACATTTGATGTTCATAGAGGGAGATTTGGACCAGATGCACTGGGCGACCAAGTACCCAGCGTGTGGGGGTAGAAAACAGTCCCCAATTGACATCCAAAGGCGCAGCGTGAGACACAATCCGGATATGTTGCAGCTGGAGCTTAGTGGATATGATGCTCAGAGAGGAATTTTTCTCATGTCCAACAATGGACACTCGGGTAAGTCGATAGTATAGTAGCAAATGATGAGCCCATAAGAAAGTTCTGCTACTGAACAACAAAAATCGATACTTTTCTCTCTTTTCAACATCTGTAAATGTATTATTCCCACTTTTAGTGTACGGTTGGAACCCACATGAAAGTTAGTGGTGTAGCTAAACAAACCAACTGCCCCTACTGCTTGCATCTGTTGTACTTATAATAATAGTTAACTTTTTTTTTCATTCCCCGATCAGTCCAAATTGACCTGCCACCCACCATGAAGATCACAAAGGGCATGCCGGGAAAATACACCGCTGTTCAGATGCATCTTCACTGGGGTGGCTGGGACCTGGAGGCCAGCGGAGCAGAGCACACCATCGACGGCATCCGCTATATGGCAGAGGTAGACCAAATAAAACATTCAGATGCAGCCCACCTCCACTGACAGAAGCAACGGGCAGACAGCACCGTTGTGCAGCACACGCTTCAGTGGTGACAGCGCTTGCGATGTGAAACGCAAACATCCTGCAAGCTGCAAAAACATCAATTTGTCAAAGTGACAGTGCCTATAACAGCAGCGGCTGGCAAAGTAGGACCCACTCTGTTAGTTAATCTGGCCCACTGCGCATTATTTATTTATTTTTTTTTTCAGTTTCTTCCTCAAAACATTTTTCTGTCATTTTTTAAATTCATATCATTAGGAAAATGGTTCATGAATTTGTTGCAGCACCGTTGTGCAGCACACGCTTCAGTGGTGACAGCGCTTGCGATGTGAAACGCAAACATCCTGCAAGCTGCAAAAACATCAATTTGTCAAAGTGACAGTGCCTATAACAGCAGCGGCTGGCAAAGTAGGACCCACTCTGTTAGTTAATCTGGCCCACTGCGCATTATTTATTTATTTATTTTCAGTTTCTTCCTCAAAATATTTTTCTGTCATTTTTTTTTTAATTCATACCATTAGGAAAATGGTTTGTGAATTTGTTGTACAACACATTAAAAAAAACACATAAGATCGTTTTTTTTTACCTATACATTAAACATGTTTGCGTTATTTATTTATTTATTTATTGTTTATTTATGCATTATTTATTCATTTATTGTTTTTTAAAAGTTATTATTATTTATTTGCAAATTTCTCCATTGTGAAACAATAAAGGTTTTCTTATCTGATTTTTATGAAATGATTCATGAAATAAAATATGGATAGATTTAATATTTATAAATAACATAATATAAACTATATGTTACACACAGTGCATTTTTTTTCTGTGCTGAAATAGAAGGTCCCCTTGTTATTTTTTGGGCTGTTCCTCCTTGTCTTTCAGCTCCATGTTGTCCATTACAATTCAGACAAGTACAAGAGCTTTATGGAAGCCAGAGATAAACCAGACGGGCTGGCAGTACTCGCCTTTTTCTATGATGTACGTATTATTTTTTGCTTCTTTGACTAACCATCTGCACATAAACACATCTCGGTCATTGTCTTGACATTCTTCTTTTTATTCACAGGAAGTTACCGACATCTATCCACAGGAAAAAGCTAATCTAAGATAATATAAACCTAATAAGATTTCAAGTAGTTCAAGAGAGATTGTGAACCAAAGAATGCGTTGATATGTCTTTCGCTCTGGCAACAAAGCCCTTATCATCCCTTGTGATATGAGTGGCCCAGGCTGAGGAGTGGTGGGTAATAATTAGAAATAATTATAGTGGAAAAACAAGACTAGCTGATAATGTGTGTGCTTTAAAATAGGCAGAGTTAATCGTGACTCTCTTGTTGAAAAGGTCACCGTTCATGCACACGCGCGGCTATGATGGACACACACATTGCAAGCAGCGCTGTAAAGTAACTTTTATTGCTATTGTGAAACTATGTTGTTTTTCTCTCTTACCTCCTACGCTGGGCAGTATGTGGTCAGCACATCTGCCTTATAGTTCGAACTTTCAGGATCCAAATCTCGTCCCTGGCCTTACTATATTGAGTTTGCGAGGGTTTTCTCGGAATAATCCAGCTCCTATACTGTATTCCAAAAACATGCCTATTAAGATAATTTAACATTCTAAAATGTCCATAGGTGAATGTGCCCTGTGATTGACTGGCAACCAGTCTGGGGGTGTACCTTGCCTCCCGCTCAAAAGTTATCTGGGATTTATTTATTTATTTATTACTCACTCAATTTTCAGGATGGGCATTTTGAGAACACCTACTACAGTGACTTCATCTCCAACCTTGCCAAAATCAAATATGCAGGTGAGTATCATGAGAAATATCGTGGGCATGCACTCATAAGACATTTTTGAGTCCCATGTGTCCCAAATGACTCGCGGCAGGTCAATCCATGAACATTTCCAGCCTCGACGTGCGCTCCATGCTCCCTGAGAACCTCAACCATTTCTTCAGGTATCAGGGCTCACTCACCACACCGCCCTGCTACGAGAGCATCCTCTGGACAGTGTTCGATACACCCATCACCCTTTCGCATAACCAGGTAGGCTCAATTGGAAGACACTAGTGCACCTACTGGATGGGCTTTCTCTAGCGGTGTGTGAAAAGAATCACTGAATTCAATTTGTGTTTGTTACAGTGGCTAAAACTATTTTTTTTTGTACATTTCCAAGTTACAGTTCAGTTGTGTTTAACTTACAAGTACAACACATTTGAATTTAATCTATTTGAATCTTTTCTTGTAAAGCTTTATAAGAAAACGAGTCACAGGCTGGCTCAGTGTCAAACTATATCTTTTGTCGTCTTTTATTGTAATGGTCTTCCGACCGGACTCCCTCAGAAGAGCATCAAACAGCTTCAGCAAATTCAGAACGTTGCAGCCCAGGTTCTTAACAAAACAAAGAGATGAGAAAATAATGTTTTACGCTCAGCCGAAAGGCTTTACACTGGCTCCCAGTCAGCTATAGAATAATTTTAAAATGATGCTTTTGGTCTATAAATCACTGGATGATCTAAGTTCTGAATACTTTACAGCAATGCTCATGGAATATAAACCCAGTAGGGGTCTGAGGTTTGCAGAATCAGGTCAATTTGTGGAGTGTCAGCATTTAGCTGTTCTGCTGCACGCAAATGAAATAAGCTGCCACAGAACTGAAGTTAGCCCCAAGTGAAAATGCTTTATAATCAAAAACGTATGCATTATTTTCCCCGAACATATGATTATGGTCTTCTATAGCATTTCTATATTTTTATTTTTAAAAATGCTCTTGCGCTGTATGTTATTTTAGTAATTTTAGTCAACTACTTTTTTTATGCCTCTACTTTGTTTTTAAATGCCCCAAATTTTTGTGTTTTTAAATTTTGTCTTCTGTCTTTAAATGCTGTTTTGTAATGAAGTGAAGCACATTGAGTTACCTTGTGTATGAAATGCGCGATATCAATTAAGCTGCCTCTCCTTGCTTTTGTTGCATCCAGATCAGAAAACTCGAGAGCACACTGATGGACATCTATAATAAGACCCTGTGGAATGACTACCGCATTGCTCAGCCTCTAAATGACCGAGTGGTGGAGTCATCTTTCCTTCCTCGACTTGGGAAAGGATGTGTGTATTTCGTGTCCTGTATACTTTGCAACATTGTCATTTGAAAATACTGTAGGTTAAGACAAATTTTTGCCGTGTCCCTTCAATTCACCAGCATTCTGCCGACAAGATGAAATTGAATCCAAGCTGCGGAAAATTGAAGGCCTGATCACGTCTCTTGGGAAAAACCTGTACTCAGGTGAGTGACATTTTGGTCATACAACAAGTTGTACATGCCTGAATCAGAATCCAAGCACTCTTGTTCACTCGTCACTGTTCTACTGTATGTTGTCTATGTATACTTAGGTGGACGACATAGCTCGCGGCCAAGCAAATATGGTGAGTTCATTTATTTCCAGTTTACAGCACACAAAGTGACGACTGATTGCTGCTACCAGGTTGAAAAAATTGGAAATGTACAATACCTTTGAGTCACTACGGCAACAACAGTCCAGTCTACCCCTGAGAATCATAATGGCACAGCCCAGCTCTTCCACATCCTCCATGAACCAGGAAGTAATCTGCACAAACACCAAAAGCAAAATCCATCCATTTCCCATCATTCGACAGTGCACTGCTATGCCGTCAATAATAAACCCTGCAAAATCTCAACATAGTGAACGTACGGTGCAAATAACCACTGAACTTTGCGCTGATCTTATTTGCCAGACTTCACGAGAAGTCAAGATGGAGCAATAGCATCGGCCATCTAGTGGTGATTAGTGATATTACAATTTAAAACTACAGTCGGCCCCTGCACATTCGCAGATCGGCACCCGCCGATTAGCATATCTGCAGATTTTTTTCGTTTTATCTTTTTCCTTCTTTCTCTCTTTTTAAATATGTTTTTAGATTTTGGATTTTCCCCCTTTTTTCTGGGATTCTTCCACCCATTTCTCCCCGTTTTACATGAAACACGTATATTGAATGTTTATCACCTTTTTTGAATAACTTTGGGGGCGGGGGTTGTAAAAATAAATAAATAGATAACTTGTGGGGACCGCCATTTTGCCCATTTGTGATACATGCCAACAACACAGTGACAGGCAGAACAATTCTACTACTAGATAGCAGAGGATTTGATGAACCTGTGTCTCCACCTGTTGCCATTCATACACTCATAGCTTTGTTTTCAACTGGAGATTGCACACCGGATAAGTATATTTGTGAGTAAATTGAGACAAGATCATTGTTTTAGTCGTTATGCTTTTTGGACATTGTTGTTTGATGGTGTGCTGTGAGGTTTTTCAAATTCCTTGGCTCAATAACAGATCCAGCAGCAATACCTGTAAAAATAGAGGAGGTGTGTTTCTCTGTCTTCATTAGAACGTCAAGCTTTGTTTCCTCTGGTGCTGACCTTCCTGTGGGAGAATTTGGGCAGCTACGCAAAGGCCCACCTCAGCCATCCGATGGATCTCGACTCCTTCACCATCTGTATGCACGTCTTTTCTGAAAAGGAGGGAGCGCACAACGTCATCTCCTACGCCACCGAAGGCGTTCACAACGAGCTGATGATCACCATCAGCGAGGACAGGGACGCCAAGGAGGTGGGCCTGTGGATCGGCAATGAGTTCGTCAACCTGCCGTACAACGTCAAGTCCGACAGCTGGGTCAACTACTGCATCACGTGGACATCCCGCACTGGCGGTGTCGAGCTGTGGGTCAACGGCATGGTGGGGGAGCGACGCTACCTAAAAACCGGTTACACAATCATCCCCGGGGGGTTGTTCATCCTTGGAAATGACCAGGACGGATTGCTGGGCATCTCCAACACCGACTCCTTTGTGGGAAAACTGACCGACGTGAACGTGTGGGACTATGTGCTGACCACAGCGAATATTCGCAACCAGATGTCATGTGAGGGGAACAGCACGGTGCAGGGAAATGTGTTCAGCTGGGGGACCACCAAACTTAGCCTGTATGAGGGGGTGCACCTGGACAGTCAGTATAGATGCTCCTGAAACACCCTCATGTTTCACAAACCAATATAGTGGAACTCCGCTATTTGCGGAGGACGGGGCCTTCGTCCTACCGCAGTCAACAGCAAGTAATAAAAAATATTAACATAAATATACTGTACCACAAATTATGCCAAAACAATGGAATATTTCAAACTCAATTTATCCTTTAAATGGCTTACAATGTGAAAACTCTCCTAACTTCCACTCAGACTAAACATATTTCCTCCCCGACGTACTTGTCTATGAATCAAGACGCATCCCTTCGACATACTTCCTTGAGATCATTTTATTTTTATCGTTCTAGTTAGGTGGGGTTTTTGTGCCATCTCAGTGCATGATAAAAAAAAAATTAAATAAGTGCAACCAACAGACACGGAATTTGTTTTCTCTCTCGGAGATAAAGGGAGGCTTGACGCATACATAGGGGTGTTGAGAAATTTTGAAATATATTTAAGAATATCAAATAAAATGCTTGAGGGGCTATACAGATTTCTGACAGGGCTGTAGCACCTCCAACCCTAACCTGACAACAAACATGAATAGATTTTTTTTTCTGCAAATAGCAACAGATAGGTGCCCCCCAAAAATATGACCAGGCAGAGGATAACCGTATCTTAGTGGTGACTTGGGGGCTTTTAGTGCTTCATCGTGATGTATTCAAGGATAAAAAAGACATCAATACAAAAAAACAAGACTGTCGCAGAGTGTGATACACACAAAAGCGCAACAGTGACGCAGAATAGTGACAATGTGATGAAATTGTCGGTAAATATGATATTTACCGTCAACTTGAGCTTCATCCTTGTATTCATCATCTTCGTACTGGGAATAAAATGGCTTCAATGTCCAGCCATGCAGTGTCTCATTTGTTTATTTTTGTATTTTTCAACAAAAGACCCTGTGCAAAAGTTCATCAAAAACACAAGAGGAACATGCAGTGTAATGCAACCCCCCTGCCCCCCCAAAGTGAAGACTTCCTCTTCTGTGAAAGATCTATTGGTGTCTTCAAAAGGATGTGACCTTCTCTGCATCCTGCAGGTTTTCTTTGCTCCCTTTCAGTGGCCCATCGCCAAGTTTGATCTCCACTCTGTTCCTCTTGGCAAACATCTGGCAGATCTCCAGGAAGGTCTTACTCTTGGTCTCGGGGACCACCGGCCAGATGTAGATCAGTGTGGCCAGACAAATAAAAGAAAAAATTATAAAGCTGTAGGCGCCTAGGCCTCTCTGAGGAGAGATGGAGGAGGGTGGGGAGGAGACACTTTTTAAATATTATTACAAAAAAGATACAAAGGAGGAAAACATAAAATAAATATATCAAGCACCACCTAATGTGACATCCCTGCCATGACTGCCCTAACTTAGAAGTGTTGGTATCATCCAAGTCATTATGTTTCTATATGTAAAAGCTCTTTGGTTTTTGACCTGATTTTCATCCATCAATACTGTACATTGTCTATCCAAGTAGGGCTTGCCCTCATTAGGATCATCATCCATGAGCTGGAGCCGAAGCAGGTTCACGTTGCATGAGAGGCAGGATATGCATGTTTTTTTTTGGAGGGGGGAGGTGATAAAAAAATATATATATATAGAATTGCAGTATTAGTGCTATCAATTACAGCCAAAATTATTTTTAACAATGCTGATCATTTGAATCAGGTGTTTTAGAGGTGGGAGACATCCAAACATGCACTACAGAGGTTCTTGCGTACCGGAGTTGATGACCCCTGTTCTTGCATATTCCAGAGCTGTTATTTTTATTGTGATATGAAAATATTACTACACAGGCTCCCTCTAGTGGTCTGAAAAATAAATCACTGCAGTTACGTTGCAATATACTGTACTGTACAATATTGTATTTGGGTTTAATATTAAGGACCTGCTTGTTTTAAAATACATGTATTCCTTTTTAAATATACTTTTCTGTGGTATATATTTTAATCGAATCACGGTTTAGATACACGTTTTAAAATATCCTATATTTAAGCACAGCACAAACGTTCAAACCGGATAACGTTATAGTGGTTGACAATAACATAAAATATTTTATTGGACTAAAACTTCTGTTTCGTTTTCAATGACCACTTTGGCCTACTATTATGCTGTTCTCGAGCATTCTAATTAACATTAAAAACATGCTGTAATCAATAGGCGTCGGGATAGAGGATGACACTCAGGTGGTGCAACTGACCTCCATAAAAGGGAATAGTAGGCCAACAGTGAAGTTGGAGAGCCAGTGGACAGAGCCGGCCACCATGAAGGCTGCGGGCCTGGCCGACTGCCGGAACATCTCAGTGGTCACCACATAAGGGATGGGACCTGCCAATGTGGTCAGCCAAAGGAGGAACATTTGAGAAACATGGTCAGGGTGAGTGTGTCCACGTGAATGCTACTGCAAGTCTACACTCACTGGGTCCGATAGCATGACCGGTGATGTAGATGATGACACACGTGATGCTGACGTAGGGCATCCATGTCACCCTTTCCTGTTAGCACAAGCAAGCAATCTTCAAAATGAAATTCAAACCACCCAGAAAATGTTTGAAATAATATTTTAACATTAATAACTAGGATAAAAATTAACCGCTTATGTTTTGTATAATGTGATACGTGTGGTTTATTCACCACTGTGATTATTTGTATGGACTCACACTTTCCGTTCTTTGTTTTAGCGTCTACTGCGCATGCTTGAGAATGTCCCAGAAGAGAAACTCTTCCGTTTTACGTTTGATATGTGTGCTACTCCCAGTTCGTAATACAAAACATGAAAGGTGTGTATCAGCGTTGTTATCGACTACACCACAATGTAGGAAAAAAAAGTTCCAAGTCGATCTTCAATTTATATAATATTTTGGTTGTTGCAAATTTTAGTTTGTATTGTTTGAGAAATTTCTTTTTTTTTTCCAATCATCAGCACTGAGAAAAGTGAGCATGATCGTCACACCGTTCACAACTCAAGCCATTCTGACAATGAGCACTAGAGGGCAGCAGAGCGAAATGAGCTCAATGGTCTGCCTGTCATATCAAACCTGGAAGGTGAGAGCAACCGTGAGCAAGACACAAGCGCCGCAGCAAATCCCAAATCCACAGAGTAGTAGGAGTCGTCGTCCTGAGGCTTCAACGATGAAGACCTAGCGTTACAAAAGCCCAATCAACATAAAAATTTCCTTTAAAATCTTCAGATCTCGACTCAAATAAGGGAACCTACTGCCGCTACGGTCATTAAGACATTCACCGCACCCGTCCCAACTGTGACGTACTGGATGTCATTCTCCGCGACCCCTGCGCTGGCATATATGCTGTCAGCATAGTAGTAGATCTAGGAGAGAGGGAAGAGGATTTTAGATGCTCCACTCTGCGCCGACACGAAGGCTCAAAGTGACATTTTTTTATCCCTTGATTGGTTCAACTAAACAGTACGCTATGTTTACTCCTCTGATTGGTTGAGATTGATATGCCTAGTAAAGATTGATTTACAGGGCAGGATGATGTCAGACATGATTGGCAAATATTTTTTCAAGGCACACTCTTCAAGTAAACCTGGGTCATCTGACACTTTTTTGGGGGCGTGAGGGGCTTTCAGTGTGTTAATGCTAGCTTAGACAGGCAGTAACAAAGAAAAGAGGTCTGCATCAGCATCTCCGGTGAGTATGATGTATTTTATTTAACCCTTTCAGGGACAGCGATTACTACAGTGGAGAGCTTATCGTGTTATCAGGTGACAGGGTGCATAAAAGGGTTAATGTTTTTATATTGATCGTGAACTGCTATATTGTAGTTTAAAGGTTTGGAATTGTTTGTAGATGAGGTTTTGGAAGATAAAGGTAACTGTGTCATGCTTTAGTAGTAATGGTATTCATCCTCAAATATGCAAAATGCCTTTGTCTCTTCTTTAATGTTACACAGTTATACTGTGTAGCGTTTTTATACATTATTTTGCAATGTGGTGTTGTTATTGGGCGGCACGGTGGTCGACTGGTTCGCACATCAGCCTCTAGGCCTTCCTGTGTTGAGTTTGCATGTTCTCCGCATGCCTGCGTGGATATGCTCCGGGTATTCCGCTTTCCTCCCACATTTCAAAAATATACATGGCAGGTTAATGGAACACTCTAAATTGTCCGTGGGTGTGATTGTGTGCACTAATGGTTGTTCGTTTATGTTTGCTATGCGATTGGCTGGCAACCAGTTCAGGATGCAACCCGCCTGCTGCTCGAAGACAGCTGGGATAGGCTCCAGCACGTCCCGGACCCTCGTAAGGATAAGTAGAAGAGAAAGTAGATGGATGGATGTTGTTAAGAGGTGGACTAGGTTAACTTAAGTCCCCACCGCAGGCCCATGTCTGAAATTCACTCACTGAGCATTGCTAATGCTAAAAACGAAAAAACAACAAAGCAACATGTTGTTCTCCTAACAGTGTATGCCTTTGTCTGTGCTGGAATCTCAAAGAACAATCAGACGCAAACTGCCAAAAATTTCTTGTTCGCCCTGTACATTGCACAGATAAACAGGCCAAAACAGGTCTCACCGCATTCACCCCGGACAGCTGCTGTCCCATATTCATGACGATGATGGAGACCAGCTGCCAGCGAAGGGAACGCTGGGAAAGCAGGGACAGCACGGACAAGCGTCCCTCCATCCTCTCCGACTGGTCTTCTAGACGCATCTCTGAAAGCTCTTGAGTCACATCGTCCCTGCCACGCAGGCTCTGTAATGCTAAGGGAAGATGGAGCCTAAACCCTTGTCATGTCAAACTTACTTCACATTCGCAAATCACCTTTCTTTGCCGTTATTTCATCACCCCTCTGGATGAGCGTGTACCGAGGGCTCTCTGGGAAGAACGGCAACAGCATGAGCTCTATCACGGCAGGAATGCCGGTAATGCCCAGCAGGAGGGTCCAACCTGAACAAATACAGGAAGGAACCAAGTCAGTTTTGACTCAGGATATTTTCAGATTTCATTTTCAAGCTGTATTTTGCTTTAAAAAATCTGGAAAAAGTGGTGCATAATCAGTTGAAATCCTTCTTGGATGCCCCGCTGTCCTCTGGTGTTCCACAGGGTTCAATATTGGGGCCCCTGCGGTTTTCATTATATTTGCTGCTTACATCTCTGAGCTCCTCCACCCCTACACACTTCACGGGTGCCTCAGGTGAGCAGACCAGACACTACTGGAAGGGGCCAAGGTCTAAGCGGAGGCTCAGAAAGGATCGAGCTTTTTACATTGGCAATCTCTTTCTTTCTGCCCCACCTCACTGTCCATTTTTCATCATATCAAGGAGTCAGCGCACCTCAAAAAGATAACCTTTGTATGTGAGACCACGAGACAAAACCGTTCGGTAAAGTGACATCACCTGTAGAGTGTTATGAGGTAATTTGTGACACAACAAATGCATAATATGTATCTGACAGGTATAGTACTGTATATGTATAGCACTAGTGTCAACCTGTGCTGTTGCCCAGTATGTTTCTGATTCCAAGCACTTGGGCAATCAGGATGCCAATGGTGATGAAGAGCTGCGGTACGATCCCAATGGCTCCTCTCAGATTTTTGGGGGCCAGTTCGCCCAGATACATGGGCACCACGTTGGATGAAAGACCTGCAGAAAAGGACATGAAACTCAAGATGCATTGAAATGATTTTTTGTCCAAAGGGTTTTATCTTTTTCAACATGTCAGACCTGCGCAGATGCCCACTATGAACCTAGCCACGATAATGATCTCATAGGACTTGGCCAGCTCACTGACTCCCATCATCAGTGCAGGGACAATGGAAAAGATGTTGTTGAAAAGGAGGGTTCCCTTTCTGTCAGGCCACAAAAATACCGTCGAATTGCATGATTAGTCCCCACTTATTGCCATGCAAACCGAAGAAATCATGGCACGCACACCAAGTAAATTTTCGAGTAAATCGAGACATGATCATCATTACTTCCGATTTTTCTTCAGAAGCAGAACAAAACCCAACTATAAATTGGATATCTGCCATTGCAAGGGAAGCAGACAGATGAGATATGACCGGTCAATGTGAGCCTAATCTCATTAAAATATGTCCGGCACTGGATCTCATTACATTGTACATTGCTGTCTCACATGCATGATTACCTTCCCAGTTTGTTGACCAGCGGGGCCACCATGAGAGACCCAAAGAAGCCTCCCAGGGGGTACATAGACACTGACAGAGACCACAGCAGAGTCAGCAGGTTCTCCCCCATTGGCTCACCGTAACGCTCGACGAAAGTGACGTTGTAAAAGTGCTGCATGAACTCAAGTGGGAACAAGACAGAACACATAGTAGAAAGGCATCACTACAAAAGTGTGTGTGTGTGCGTGCATGTGTGTTTCTCGCAAGGTTACTGGTGCTGGAGAGTTGATGGCAGCTACGTTGTATCCATACTGGAAGGATGAGCCAAATGTAGATACAAGTGTGGCCAGTGCCAGGACCACAGTTAATCTCTAAAAAAAACAAAAAACAAAAAAAACATAGGAATGTTTTCTGTATTATTCATACTAACTACAACAGCATTGAGTACTTTTTTTAATGGGATGTCTGACACTTACCCCGCTCCTCTCAGGCTTTGCCAATTCCTCAGTTTCCACCATGGCTGTTTGTGTCTCGCACACACAAGAAGAAAACGTGCACTTGGGTAAGCCGCACTTCTGACTGCCCTTTGAACATGTCATCATCGCAGCTAAAAGCCCCAATTTGTTTATTGCTTTCATGTTGCTGACGGTGCTCAGTTGCTTACTGTATGGATGTAATCAGTTGTTGTGCAGGTACACCCATTGCATAAATAAGACTTGTAGTAGAACCTGTAAAAGTGGCAAAGGTGGATCGGTGCCTCAATTAACACGGTTGCATTTTTTTTTTTTACCATAACATGTCCAATTTTAGTTAGCAAGAATAATTGTATTGCATTTATATTATTACAATTATAAACAAAAAATTGTATAATTATTTTTTTGTTGAAAGACTGAGTTAGAGGAACTACTTTTTAAATGATATTTATTTTAATATGGGGTTTTAATTTGAATTTAAATGAGTGTTTTGCAGGGCCCATTAAAATACTTGGAAAGAGATTTTGTTTTACTTTTGCAACTAGATACATTTTGATTGTGATAATCATGAACATCCATCCATTCCACCATCCATCTTCTGTAGAGCTTGTTCTCACTAGGTTGCAGGTGAGCTGGAGTCTATCCCAGCTGAGTTTGGCTGAAAAGCGGGTTAAGGCTGGACTGGTGGCTTATCATAATCATGACAAAATGTATACAAAAAGTTGTTTATTGGTTGAGACAATCACCTTTTTAAAATACTGGCCTATGTCATTTTTTTTTCTTTCCCCCAAAATTATCTTCTCACGGGGTTGGCCGCCTCTGCTAAAATGGCCGACATCCTTAGTTGAACAGATAATGCAATACTAACCCAGAAGTTAGTAAAATTATGAGTAATTATAATATATTCAGTACTGTGAGGCAGATATGCAAACAAGTTGCCCACTGCCCTGCCACTCCTCTTTTAGTTTTAATGAATTAGGTGGGCAGCAAGCCAGCTGATATAAATTCCCTCATGAATTGTCTGCATACGGAGTGCCTTTCAATGTCAGCCAAGACTCAAAAAGTTGACACAACCAATGGATTTGTCCTCACACCTAACAAAATACGGTCCATGATGGCCCTAAAGGACACAAAAAAAAAAACTATTCTCATCAGCATCAACTGTCCTGACTTCACCATATTCTCTGACATGCTGGTAGTGACTGGTTGTGTCCAAGCTCAATTTTTGTCTAGCGTGAGTAAGTCACATAGGTGACTGCTTCCGTTAGGCCGTGTTTGCGCAGAATTATTACTCAGGACTAGTCACCATAATAGTCCACTTTATACTTTTTGGTTTAAGTGGGATTAAATTAAGGTCAAAATACTGTAACGTTTCACAACTTGATGCTATTTTTTTAAAAACGTCTCCGCCGCCTACTCCTCCCACAATGTGTACAGTGCATATTTGGAATGACTTCTCAATATGTAAAAAAAAAACAAAACGAATGTGAATATGTTTGTTATGCATTACTTTGAATACAAGTTGCCAAACGTATCCATAAATAGCAGCACACAAATCTTAGAAACGGGTTCATTGGTTGGTTCAGTGTAGCAACCATGAGCCTGTGTAATCAAGTCATTTTGGTATAAAGTACTTTCGGTATCAAGTACTGCTCCAAATAGAACTGACTTTTTCTTTTTTTTGACATAAACATGGATTAGTTTACAGTCCAGCTGGTACATGGCCAGTTTCATACAGCAACCTCGAGGAGCTTGATAACTTCCACAGGGGATACATCAGACGTCCCTCAAACTAAGCTAGCCTGATGCGTGTGAAGACAATTTAGATGCTTCTAAATATGGCAAAATAGATTTGTGTTAAAAAAAAAGAAAATGTCTGATAGTGTATAAAATACGCACCCTGTCGCAATAAAGGTTGGGAAACTCTGCAACCAACAATGCTTTCTTGCACTAAGAAAGGGCCATTTTGTTTTTTTTTCTACCGGCCGCTGAGTTCATTTGGGTTTAAAGTCCACACTTGGTATGCTTTTAGGCTGACGCCAAGTTGCGCTAACATCAGCAGGGGTCAAAGGAGAAGTGAGGTTCCGCAGTCAAGCAAAGCTCTGGTTTCAAGGAAGAAGGCTGACATGTGACGATCAGTCATACATCCTGACATTAATCATCACGACGCATCGAACACAATGATTTTGTAATACATCGTTGAGCAAGAACCCACAGGCTTTACCAAAACAAAGGACGGTCAGTGACATCAGCGGAATAGTCATCTGACTGCATCATCATGCTTGTCAAAAGAGTTCCATTTAAACTGAAATAGTGACTATAAAAAAATTGGACAGAATTAAACATTTTCATTGCAAATTAGGCTTGAAGAGCCTTCCTGCTGGTTAATCTTTATTTTTGTTTTTCCCACAGAGTAAATATTTATGTTGTTAAATTTTTTACGAATATTTTTGCAAATATGTAAACTATTCAACAGAAAAAAATGCAAAAATATTGTTTTAACAATTTTTTTAATCTCCTCTTTCACACAAAAAAAATTCTCAATCAATATTATTTATTGCCAAGGTATCGTTACTTACATGCATTCATGAAAAAAAACTGCACCGGAGTGTGCATGTAAGTTTGTAAATTTCACCAACAACCTAGGCTAAACTTTGCACCTCCCGAACAGAAACAGATGTTACTCTCTCAGTTGATGTGTGCTACTCGAACATACTTCATCGACACAAATAAATACTTTAGTGTCTTTGGCACCAATTGTGCAATCTTAGAGCTTTATAAAGAGCACAAAAAAACATTTGAGTGTTTCATTTAACAGCTGAGGATAGGTTCCACAGTAAAAAAAAAAAAAAACATATGCGTATATCCGTTAATAGTGGGGGTTAATGGTATTGGTAAAATGTCACAACACTGCCTGTATTGTTAAAAAAAAAAAAGGTGCAATAGATGTGATATGATTTCTTGGAAGAAAAATTGCTTTGAAATACTATGGGCGCCAACCAACATCTTGGTTCACATTATGTTCCTCTTTGGAGGTTCTTTCGTATCTAATTTAGTTCTTCTCGCTGCCTATTGTTGGCAACAAAAAGGACCAGTGAATATCACATGACATCATTGCGTGAGTTTATTAGTGTAGCTTTCTTTCAAAATATCATATGATACAGGATGCTCATGATTACATTTAAACGCAGCAACAATGAAGTCACAGAGTGATAATCATGTTTTTTTTCTACGACATAGCCAAGAGCATTCACACATTTTTCATTCCCCCAAAATAGTTGATGAAACTGAATATAAATCGCACATATGTTGGACCCGATAAAGTGATTCCACGAGGTACATGATAAATTAATTCATCTTGGAGAAACACCCAAAAAAAAAAAAAGGTGAGATGCTTTTGATGATACAACATTATGTGCTAAATGTAAACTTCGGATTGACTGATGCTCGTGTCATATCTATGAATGAAATACCATGATGTCCATACATGTCAGCAGAGCGATGAATGTGCCTGCCTGCGCCTCGATCAAATACACCAAAATCACAATACAGCAGCTGCGCCACCAGTTAGACCTGGTTTTTGCGAGTCTAAATTCTACTCTACTTTTGTAAACAAATTTGCAGATGCGCCGCGGGCCATACAGCAGCTGCGCCACCAGTTAGACCTGGTTTTTGTGAGTCTAAATTCTACTCTACTTTTTGTAACCAAATTTGCAGATGCGCCGGGGGCCTGGGCCCAGTGAAGCAAAGCGCATCTACCAAATTCACAAACATGGAGAACGAGAGCATTGCCCTCCCACCAAAAAGATGATGGGCCCATTTTTACCTCGAGCACAGACTACTTTCTGTTATCAAATTGTGGCAAGAGTCGGGTGTGGGCAATAAATTGTGGTTGTATGACAATAGAATTATCGAAATGTCATCTGCACTCACATGTAGCATCACCAGCACAGGGTTCTGTCTCGCTGGGGAGCCAGCCAGCAACAGGATGAAGCGGATTGTACTCCAAATGCGTAACAGGATGAAGATAATAGGGATGAGAGTCAGCTTCATGTCTGCCATGGAGGAGAAGGAGTACGATGTTGTCCTATTGGCCAAGAGTGGACGGTACTCGGAAAGGGCTGCATGCTGTGTGTGGTAACAAAGGATAAAAGATACGAGGAAATTATTGACTTTTAGAAAATCAGTAATGACAGTTGTTATGATACCAAAACTCTAACTTTGACACTATACCAGCATAAAGTACCCCGATACTGATACTTTGACACTATACCAGCATAAAGTACCCCGATACTGATACTGAAACAATACCAAGACAAAAACCAAGATCAATAAAAAATCGCATATGACAAAATCTGGAACTTAAAAATCGTAGTATTTTTTGTCATTTAATATAGTGGGAGGATATTCAACGAAACTATTATATATACACAGTATTGTTTATATTTTCATGCCCTGGTATTTTGATAAAATTATGTAGTTTGGTTGAACACATTGGTGCTTCAATACATTGTACAACATAGCGTATTTTGGGAAAAACGTCTGTCTTCCATGTCCACGCACTTCAGGTAATGTCGCTCCACCCTTGCCGTACTATTTTTGGGTGTCTGGGCCCCAAAAACTGAATAAAGTATAGTACAGTTTCCCACAGCCACGGACGTATACAATGGACAAAGAGTGCTCCTTACTCACCGTCAGCCGGCGGCCATCTTACGTTGCCACTTGTTAAGGCCATTTGGACAAAAATGGCTGTGAAATGTTCGCCCTGTTAGTCACAATTCATGATGCTGAGGCGCTCAATGCAAACAGTGAAGTTCGTTCTTTGAGAGGCTCTCCTGACTCCATACAGGGAGCCTAGCATAAAGCACACACTGTTTTACAGTGTTTTCAATAACAGTCACGACTTAAGATGGCTGCCCTCTGGCTTCAGTCACAAGGGGCCTATTGAGAGTCCATTCATATAAACGTCCGTGCCCACAGCGTGCTTGTCTGGCTTTTGTTCTTTCCATATACAGAAACGTGAGTGCCTTATAAAAAGCTTGAAGCCAGTATGTGGCCACTTGTTTGGAGAAATGTTCGTTATCTGCCAAACTGCACAGAAGTACCGGTACTAAAAATATGTGGTATCTTTTCCTTTTTGAAGGAAAGGTAATGCGGTACATCTGTAGTCCGAGTATACTAGACAACCCTTTGAATAACACTGCATTGCTGAGCTTCTCCTTGGGTACTCACCGCTGTGTGAATGTGTCTCTTGATGAGGATGTAGAGGATGGGGAGGATGAGGTAGGCCAAGAATTCCCAGATCTTTCCAGTCAGCAGCATCCACAGGACACGGTCAGGGGTGTGGATTCTGACCCAGCACCAGCCCACTGACACCTCTGATGCAGTGTAGCCAATCTTGTTGAGGCACACGGCTGCAACTGTGATGCTCAGGGGAACCCCCCAGCTAGAATACACAGAAGCGTGAGAGAATGACATCATCGCTTAAATTTTGTTTTTTTTCCATCTGCAAATACTGCATGGGTTCAAGGGACATCTACGTGTAACTACTGAAAGAATTAATTTCAGGCTCCAGGCTTATACATATTTGTGGTAGTAGTTGTCGGTACATCAAATATAACTCAATGTTTCAATCTTTTGTTTCTAACAGCTAAAAATAAATATTTCCATGTCAGAATGACAGATTGTTTTTTAATAGTACCGTGTCAGGGGTCAGGCTGTGTGTGTGCTGCCCATACAAGTGGATGAATGCCGTAGCTCTGTTGTGAAACCCAAATACAATGGACTTCCTAAGAATATATCACAATAAATCTCGAACATTCACTGCAGACACTGTTCACCGTAGGGTGAACATGTGATACTGATACTCATAATTGTTGATTTATCTTAATTCATACATCATCATAAAGTTGGTTTCTCTTTCTAGTGTATTTATAGATGCAGCACATAAATGACGGTTTACAATTCAACGACCCATCATTGCACATGGTAGAATGAATGATTCAACGTGTGGTTTGGTGTACTCACACAATGACTGTTTTATAGGTTATGTAAGGTATATTTTTTAAAAGAACATATAATGCGGTGTACAAAAGGGCATCACTCTTATGGCACATATTAATCAAATAGTGCCGAAAGGGTAACAATCCTGCCCAAAACCGGAATGATTCCCGATGTTACATAGAATGCTTATGTTTATTGATGGAGGAATTTAATTTAACGTTTCATTCATAAAGTCCACTTGCACAGGAGCCAAATGGGTCAGCGACGAGATTCGAGATGGGAGTGCAATGAAAAAAAGCTTGCTGTGCTTGGCAGTTGGTGTCTACATTGTAACATTCATTACATGCACCGAGATGATTGAAAGAGAACAGTGCTACCCTCCACACGAGGCTTATAATACGTTTTTATCGTTAGTTTTTATTCATTCATTCATTTTCCGAACCGCTTTATCCTCACTAGGGTGGTGGGGGGGGGGGGGGGGCGGGGGGCTCTCCAATTTGGAGTGTTCAACCTGACTGCCATGCATGTTTTTGGAATGTGGGAGGAAACTGGAGGACCCGGAGTAAACCCACGCAAGTACGGGGAGAACATGCAAACTCCGGAAGGCCGGAGCTGGAATTGAACCCGGTACCTCTGCACTGTGAAGCCGACGTGCTAACTACTCGACTACCGGGCCGCCCCAGTTTGTTTTTATTTCATTTTGAATTCTTTTTTAAATGTGGTTATTTTCGACGTGCTAACTACTCGACTACCGGGCCGCCCCAGTTAGTTTTTATTTCATTTTGAATTATTTTTTAAATGTGGTTATTTTTGATAAGAGCAAGGTTTTGTTTTTTAATATACGGATAACTGTTCCTTCTGCCATAATAATGACAAAATCTTGCGTCATTTGTTTGCCCGATCTCTCAACTCTTGTGGATTGAGATTTGAAAAAACGTTTGTCTTTAAGAATTAATAAAGTTCTACAATTTGAACTCTGTCCTATTGTCTTCTTTATGGGCGACTTGGAGTTTTCTGTCTCAGATGTGATGAACATTAATTTATTGATGGGTAAATATCGCTTACATTGTGCCAAACGGAGAAAGACTAAGCACACCACTCTCAGAATTTAATCATGACATTAAAACATGTTTTTTAATAATTTTTAAAAAATTGAAACAAATATACTCAGAATGTTAATTTATCTTAATCCCATGTCGATGCTCCTTTGTGTATGAATGGAAATGCCAATTTTTTTTCAGTTTTAGATGGATGTGGTTCTCATGTATTTTGTTTCGGGTTTTTTTTTTTTATGTTATAAATGTCTTTTTTACGTTACACATTTAGATGGATGTGGTTCTCATGTATTTTGTTTCGGTTTTTTTTTTATGTTATACATTTCTTTTTTACGTTGCACGTTGTTTGTATTATCCTCTTTGCTCACAATAACGAATAATTATCAAAACAACAATGACAGCGATAATAATATTTGAAGTATTTTGTACATCCCAAGATGCCTCTGGGCGTCTTAAAGAGACAGTAGCAGTTTCTGATTTTACCTACCTGACCAGGTGGAAGACCAGCACCAGGCTGTCAGCAGCCCTCTGACTGGAGTGTACGATGAGCACATACAAGTAGACAGCGATGGCCACCGTCCAGAAAAAAGAGCTGGTGTTGGCGAAGGTGGATATCGCTCCTTGAGCGACGCAGTCCGGCGAGTCGGAGTCGAACACTTTCCATACTCCGAAGGCGTACGAGACCGCGGAGAGCCAGCCGGCCACCGAGAGGAAGAGGAGCAGTTTGCGCGGAGTGGTCCTCAAATCCGCCAAACTAAAGTAAGTGACGATAATGAGCGACGAGCCCACAAACGACATGGCGCACGAGCACAACACGACCACCTGTTCGGACAAGTACACAACTGTTTGGTTGTGCGCTGCCATCGTTTTTTTCTTTCTTGTTGGCTCTTCACTACACGCGCTGCATGTTTTCTACACAACAAAGCCTTAACTTCCACTAAGACGAATGGAGGCGGAGCTCTCACTGTGTCCGCTTCATTTAAAGACTGAAAAAAAAAATCGTGGTAAACTGCGTTTTAAATCACCTTCCTTTCCAACTACCTCTTCCTCCTACTCTTCTTCCTCTTCCTTTTGTAGCTGAGGTCACAGTCAGCCGGTCAGTACTCGAGGCTATTTTGGGCTCCGGATTTGAACCTTGGATTTAAAATGGTTTCGTCGCAACTAATAATCCCAAAATGAATTTCTCCTGCAGTATGTGGAAAAACACCAAAGCCATGTAGCAGCGTTTTTCTTCCAAGGACAGAAAAAAAATCAAAGGACGAAAGGCAATTCTGACGTTCTTCACCTTTAATGTATTTAAGATGCGAAAACCCATCTGACAGTTTAGGTAAACATACTGTTTGCTGGTCAGTTGTAGAGTTGTGCCTTAATTTTTGAGTTTAACTCAGTGACCACACTTGCAAATCAAAGCACATGTATCTCAAGTCATCTTTCTCCACTGAAGTAAATAGAAACGTCATTAATCTGTTCCAGGCCCTTGTTGTGCTCCTTCAGGTGTGTGCACCTTGTCCACCAGCTGACAGAAATAGTGAAGCACAAGAAGAGTTTCACGAATAGATTAGTAGCTAGGTCCAAATTCGTGGGCCGCGTCCTCCGAAGGAACCTTGGCAAACTGGGTCCTCCGAAGGCTCCTCTTCCCTCAAGTAGCCTTTGTGGATCGCATAAATAAAGCATGGTGAATTTGGACAGGTGTAACATCTCTCACTTAATTGTCTTCTACACCACAGCAAGATGGCGGCAATGTGCTTGGATGCTAGAACAGACTAAGTGTAGAAGAAGAGCGGTGGAGCAATGTAAACTCAAGGTCCATCACCATGGAAACGAAGGCCAGATTTGGAGGCAAGATTCGTGAATTTGGCCACCAGCGTATGGTCAAAGCTTACTTGAAATTATGTCATGTAGCTTTTAAAATTAGCCTTTCGAGGTCGCAGCCAACGAATTTGGACACGGCAAAAAAGGGGCTTTCACATAACGCTGTTTGTTAGCCCATTGTTTGGATTTTGCATTGTGTGTTAGCATTAAGCTCGGACATTAAAGTGATGTGGTTGTTTGAAATATACAATGTATAATTGTCCTAGTTTTATGTTTCGTTTGACATAAACTTAAACCGCAAGTGGCGTTAAACAGCTTGAAGCATTTTTTTTTGGAAGTGAGTTGAGTTTTCTGCCAACATCTCGCACTCGGATGGAAAATTTTTGCTCGCAAGTCAATCAAAAAAAAACCTTAAAAAAATCAAATACAAAGTCAGGTTACTCGTAGCTCAAGGCACCGACTGTATTTCAGTTGTAAATATTTACTTTGCATAAATACAAATAAAAAAATACTCGAGAGAAAATAAAACCAATGCTTTATTATTAGTAGTAGTAGTGGTATCAGAAGTAGAAATATTGTAGAGGTCAGAGCCTCATTACACAGAGGCACCTCACTGAATAATGTGTGACAAGTTGAAAATAAGGAAGTAAAGGGATGAGAACAAACTTGATCTCTTCTCCTTCATGGACCCCATTGTACAAAATAAGTACAGAATTACAATGCTTCCATATGACACAAGCCATATCAAATGCGCCTCAGGCCAGAATTTGTACCCTAGCTCAGGGGCCCCCAACCTTTTTTGCCCCACGGACCGGTTTATGTCAGACAATATTTTCAGGGACCGGCATTTAAGGTGTGGCGGAAATAATACAACAAAATAATATGGTATGAGCTGCATGAAAACTGGCGTTTTCGAAATATAATAATAAACACAAGGAGCGTCTAATCTGGCCGCAACACTCCGATCGCTATGGCAATGTTTAATGCCTTCAAAATACGATACAACGCAAATTCAAAGTGCATGAAAATGACCACTCACCACAGCACCGAGCTTGATTTTCTGCAACCAGACGGTCTCGGGGTAATAGGAGACAATGACACCTCAAGTGTGTGGTTTATGTCCAGTCTACTTCGAAATTTTGTTTTCGTCGTGTGGCGATCTCAGAGTATTCAGCCATAACTTTAATCCAGTTCTCTCGAACGTACTTTTAAGGCCGCCGTCCTTTGCGATCTCCAGCGGTTTTTTTTACTCATTTTGCGAGCTCCCGCGTTTTGTTTTGAAGTAATCGGTCACGTGACGGAGAAGCGTGGCTTGACGTGTGTCAAGCGTGACATAGACGGATGTAACGGAGAATCCGGTAGTTTTTCAAAATAAAACATATTTCGTATTCCGAAATAAATAAAACGGAATTAAGGCAAGTTCTTTCTGTGCGGCCCGGTACCAAATGCCCGGCGGACCGGTACCGGTCCGCGGACCGGCGGTTGGGGACCCCTGCCCTAGCTTACAGATAATGTTGCTTCAGTTGTCGTGTAATTTTTCTATCCTTGATCAGTCCATGATTGACTTATCCGCATCATGTTTGTCAAAAACAGACCTCACCAAGTGCAATAAAACAAGAAAAACAATTGGCGCAAATTGTTTCCATCACATTTTATTCATTTAATACTTTTCTTAGAGTAAAATACATAACCGCTCATGATTAACGAGTAATTGACTGCACGCTGACAAGCCACACTATATGACCACTTGCACCATATAATATCCAATACAAGAGCTGTATCAAATACTGTATAATGATGCTCAACTGTGATTGACACAGAGATATTTATTTAATTTTGTTTATGGTTTGATTGTTGCTGTTGCATTTTTCAATGTCATATACAATATTGCATTATACGGAGCTGTTCAACATACTCCCGTGCAACGATTTTAAGTAACTTAAAGATGCATTAGAGTAATACAAAACTCAAAGATACAGTCGTAATTGTGGGAAATTAAAACTTCTGGATCGTAACGCAGGATCGTTAATTTTGTCAAAGCCGATTTCAACATTCAGCTTTTGGATTTCATTAGCTTTAGCAAGTGGACATATTGTTGAGCCTGCCTAGTAAATCAGCAACAATTCGCAAATTGAAACGGAGCAACTGAATTAACATGCATTTAGTGTAGAAGTTGATCCCAGGCACATCAGCCAATAGTCAGTTTGATTTCATGCTGGGAGTTTATTTTAGCCACCAGGTGGCGGCAGATGACCTTTTATAAACTACAACGCGAGGCCTTGATCCAACACAATCTTGAATTGGCATTTTCAGTTTGTCGCTTCTCAAATTTCGACGATGTCTTTACAACTTACATTAGTCAACGCCGCTGACGAGGACTTTTATTGCAAAGAATTTCTGCGGCAGTATACTTGCTGATTGCTTCGTTCTCACTCCTCACAACAACCAGCTAAGACACTGCCAGAGAAACACCCACAGCAACCGAATGCCTGCTCCCGCCAGCTGGTCCAAACTGCCACCGTCCTCGTCGACTCTGGCACCTTGAACCCTTCCACTTTCTTGGTCTGGCGAGCTCTAGAAGATAAATAGAAGATGATCATTGTTCCATGTGAAAACAGACACAGTGTAGTTATTGTTACCTGTTTTAAAAAAAAATTACATGAATGATGAAATGCATCCTACTCGCCCACCGTGGCTTATATAACTCGTGATTCTACACACGGTTGCTCAAAGTGACCGGAAGCGTATTCCTCAAATAGATTCTTGATACCCACCCCATTCCTCTTTTTGCCTTGGTGTGCGGCATCAATTTTGAGTTTGCACAAGTTGAGCACTCCCTCCCCAATCCAAGAATAGAATTTTGTGTCATGACTCATGATTTTGCATCAAAACGCTCCGATTGATTTACCCCGATTTGTAGCGGTGTGTTCGCATTTCTTCTGTTCTCTTCATGTAAAGCAAATGTTTGATCGTAGTCTAACAAAGGGATATCAGTTAAAAGTCTACTCGCGATCGTTGCAGTGTTCATCTATATGGTCCTCTCCCTACAGACTGCGCTTGCTGACAGGATGACATGGGCACGAAAGAGCGCTCTCTGGTCGTCCGCTCTCAAGGACAATGAGATGAGTGAGCAAGGCAAATATGTCTTAAATAAGCTTCAAGACACTGCTATCATATGATCCATCTCTGGTTGCGTAACTAGAAAGTCATGCCTTGACTGGTGCTCGGACACTTTTCACCGCATCTTGCGTCAGAAACAGTTGCGCAAGGTGTTGGTCATGTATGAGTGGATTTGACACCGACCTGATTTTAGTTGTCAAACGCATCCTTCCGGCCCACACTCAACGTATTGTACATTACAATAACGGGACATTTGCTCACAGTTGATGTTTTCTTTCATACAAGACTTGCTGGGAAAAGAACACTGTTTGCACAGGGAGCAATTAGTCAGCAGTTGGACGTCGAACCGCTTGATGCTATATGTTCTCTGGTTTGAGCTGACTAGCACCTCGGTGCATGCTTATTTCTTTTTTGACAACTGATGTTGGTGAATGTTATGGTTGAAATGATATCTGAAACTTTTACATTTGTTGAAGGAGTTGTAGAGTTCAAATGCATGTTTGCATTATTATTATTTTTTTGACTAACTTCTTATTGGATAAAAAAAGAAATTTTGCTGTTGAAAGCAATAAATATATTGCTTTGGCGCTATCTTTTGGCGTTTTGGTGTCAAGGTACTATGTTGATGTGAGTTGCGGTGCTTTGTTTGGAAGAAAAAAAGGCATGTTGAAGTGAGTTGAGACGCTTCATTTCGTCAAAAGTAGTGCAATGACACCTCCGTGCTTAATCGTTAGAAAATTATAACCCTAACTGGGGGCTCTCAATTAGCGCGCAATGATTGATTGTTTTTGGATTGAACTCGTGATGTCAGACAACGTGATTTTGTGATCGTCAAATTTGTTTTGCCATAATT